CCCCCAAACAAGCCGCTTGCAGCTCTGTTTCGTGCTCCACCCTGGCTGGGCAACCCTTGTCCCAGCCCCTCTCCCTCCTTCACCATGGGGGCCTTGATCTGCCCTGCCACTCCCATTCCCCTTTTCTCCTTTCACCCCTTCCCTTCCCAACAGAGTTACCAGCCAGACACTGTTCTCCAAGCTGCCTGTCGGCAGTCAGATCAGTATTGGCCAATATGGCTTGTTAATAATTGACCGTTAGTATTGGCCCAAAAAACCTTTATCAATACACCCTACCCAAAATGAAATGTTTAATCCTCCCCCTCCCCTAGTAGGTCTGAAACTCCCCCCTCCCCAGATTTTTGTGAGAGGCTACAGAACCTGATGGGAGCACTGTTCAAGCTTGCTCTTGTATGTGCATAGGACTGTAGGATTCTAACAGGACCCTTTTGCTTTCTTTCGACATAAGCAGAAGCCACACTTCCTTTCCCAAATGGAAAGAGAACAGAGAAGGGTAGGCAGTCAGATGAGCATTTACCTGTAGACCTCTAGAAATGTCTGAAAGCCTACGTTTTATGGGGAGAGTTGGGCAGCTCAGAGAAGCTTGCCTCTTTACATCACGTCACTGAATAAATAAGCAGGGGCTCTTGGAGACTCTGATCAAAATCTAACGTGTTCACAAACAATAACAGTAGATGATAGGAGACATTCCAAAGTTAACATCAATTATTCATTGGCCATTGTAGAAAGTGAAATTCCTTCCAGCTTGCCATGGTGCGTGATGCCTGTGCCAGAGTAGTCGTGTTAGGGGAATGACATTTTACTTGGACAAAGATGAAATCAAAGTAGAGGAAACGTGAGGTGATCAGCATGAGAATGTTACTGAGCTTTCTGTAAAACAGTTTGAACTCGCTTATCCAAAATGGCCCGGAGTGCTGGTGCTTGAGGATGATTCTGGTAGAACCACGGTCAGATCCTGTCTTGTTGTGGGACAAACATCACATCTCTGGGCGTGAAATCCTCTGGCTGAGGAATCGAGAGGTTGGGGCCAGGAACTGAGCTGAGCCTCTTGCCGTTTTTTGAATTTCAGAAGCGTTGAGATATTTAGGTCACAAAGATAATTTGTTAAACAGCTTGCTTACTTGGTTACCAATAACACCTCATTAATAAGACTTTTAAAAAATGTAACTGCCTTTTTTTCCACCATCGTTTACTTATTAAACAGAGTGAAGTACAACAAGACTGAACAGTTCAGTGTCAAAACAAAAAAAAATGCTTCCTTGGGAGGAAAAAAGAGGGAAATATAATATTCTAGAGATTCTTTGTGCTAATATCCTCATAGAGACAGAAGGCTTGCTTCTCAGCACAGGAGTCTTGCTGTGGAGAATGTGAGAACAAATTCCCCAGATATAGGAATGATGTGGTGCAGGAAAGGGGAGAAATAAACTGTTGCCTCTCCGTATCCAATACACCCTGACCCATACCTGTGTTTTCATGTTAATTTTAGATTTATCTAATTGTATATAGATCATAAAGATGTAGCCAAAAAAGTCTGTGGTCATACAAATTCATAATAAATTGAGGTCACTGGCAGAAATTGAGGGCCTTGGACAGTATAGATTTTAAAAATCATTCCTTAACCACCTGAATTATATTACATTTGGCTCACTCATAAGCAGACCTTAAAAAAAAAAATGGCAAGCAAAAAATTAATTTTCTTGTATGTAGCTTGAACAAAAGAAAGATGGAGAACCTGCTGTTTGCAGAATAATCATCCCTTGGTAAAGAATTCAGAGGTGGTAAGGTCCCTTGGAAATTTCTTCCTCTTTGTAAGACTGACACCAGAAGTGCTTAACTGTAACCAGCAAGTGTGTGTGTGTGTGTGTGTGTGTGTGTGTGTGTGTGTGTGTGTGTGTGTGTGTGTGTAATATTTTATTTTTATATAGTATATAGGTATAGATATATCTATCTTCAGAGATAACAGACTGAAAAGGGACACTAGAAAAAAATGCAATAGCTGCAACTTTGGATTGCAGTTAAAAACAAACATTTTGGGAAGATCAGAGAAATTGGTAGAAAACAAAGCTGTGTGAAAACGCTGCATGGTTTGATCCTAGATATAAAAGCCTACACTTCTATGCCTTGTCTTTTCTAGGGTTGTCTCTGGTCTTTCTGTGTGAAGTCTCAAGACCCAGCTTTTTCTTAAGGCACAGTTGACAAGATTTGGGAATAG